AGATGAGGCAGTCAGTGCCGCCATTTTGTCATTCCTTTATGTATGTATGATACATTTTTTACTTTTTGAATGGTTATATCTAAATTTCAAACAATTTTTGACAAATTGCGCACTTACCTTGTGAAAGTAAAACATTTTTACTGCCCAATCATGCAAAAAAGATAAAGAAATTCAAAACTTTGTTCGGAACTTTTGTCTTCTAAAGGTGAAATAATTTTAGTCATCTCAGTGATAACGGGTGCAGCAACAAGAGTGAACAAGTGCTTTTCTCTTCTCATAGGAATAATAAAGTAAAACTAAGAGTGCTTAACAGCTACACAAGCAAATCATGTCTCTAGATCCTTTATAGTAATAACAAGAAGGCCGTTTGTTAGTGGATGAGTCTTCTTGCGCCACGCTTGCCACTTTAACAATAGAATATGAAAAAACTACCATAACCAATTGCATTAAGTAGCATTCAAGAAGCTCCAAGTATCTAGTGAAGTCCCATCCATGAACCAGAAAGACGTTAGCAGGCTTTGTAGTGAAGCTTCCTATCAATCCACCATTGCTGAGCTGCCGTTGCTATGGTAATTCCAATGAATATCATTAAATTAATGCGACCGGAAGTTCCATTCCAATTGCTGGACATGAAATGTGTTGCATACCAGTGTAGAGAGAGATCATGTAATATGTACTTCTGAAGAAAATTTCTTGTCACTTTCAACTAGCACTTTAATTAACATTAGTACCTCGACATCAGGGGATTGTCACTAATTAATATTCATTAAATTTAATTATTTCAGTAATACACATGTACATTAATTAATCACACACTTACAATTCTTAATGATCAATGACTGATGCATTTTGGTTCCGCTGGTCATGTGACAGTGACACAACTAGTAGAAGGATTCCATCATACAGCAAGGACATATTTCGATACTACTCTGACAACTTGAGTTTTCAATATTCATTTTAATAGAAATGCTGGAATATACCAAGTCTTCAAGCAGTAAGTGTTCCAAATACGCTTTTATCCTCTTCTGCCGAGAAAATTAGTCTTCAGGCAACAGAGTGGAGTGCTGATTTCAGGTTAAACGTTACACCTTCCTCTTCTTAAGTTCTCTCTCAATACTCCGGCCGAGTGTAGTTACTCTTGCTCTTTTCCCATTGCTTGTCTCTATCAAACACAATAACAGTCAGACAGGGCCAGAGAACGGTTGGTGATCCTCCATTCAGTCTGTTGGTGTTTTGGTGAAATCAGTCACAAATCACTGAAATGGCCAAATGCCAAATGGGACCATGTGCCAGCACTGCGAGATGTACTACACGCCCAAGAGTTGGAACATGGACCAGTCCTGATACAGGCCTGAATCATTACTGATGATCGAGCCTGGACCGAGGATTTGGGGCAATGTCCTGATCCGATATTGACGAATCAGCCACGATTTATGCTGGTGCCAGACCTGATCCGACAACGATAACGATATTCATTAAGCCTCATTATGACGTACTTCTCTTTTATGCTTAATTAATACTTAATTATTATTCATTATTAATTAAAAATGATTTGGAATTATTATTAAAACCAAAAAAGATTATAATTGTTTTCTTTATCATAGTCTACCAATGTTCCACAAGTAAGACACTTCATGTTTTGTAACTTAAGACACCTAAAGAGCCATAAATTAAGAAGGCACTAAAATAATAAACTTACATTATACTGAGAAATTAATTTCCCAAAATCTCCAACATTAATGAACTCTGGGGTTCCATGTAGTGAAGCAGATCTTTCAAAGGTATCTTGTAACACATAGT